ACCGAGTTCTCACAGAATTACAACAAACCTGGATTGTTGCCGTGTGTCTATAACATCACATACACTAATTGGCAACCCCTAAGAAAAATTCATAACTCAATGCATTACCCCAGTAACGATGGGTGTCCCATATGTGAATAACCCAAAAAAATAAACATTGCCGGGCATCCCGCCAGTGTGACGCTGTATCGGTGCTCGCACTCTGACGCAGCAGCAGACCGCGCCCAGCACTCGGGCAGAATCCGGGCCAGCCCCGTACGCCGATTTTGTAGCCACCCGGAAACTTTTATTTTCGGCTTCAAAATATACCAGTGGTAATGGGTTAAGCTATAGGAACCCATGATTGCACTGTCTCCTTCAACTGTCCCTAGCATACACTTCTCAGGAGATTACTTCTTTATGGCAACAGTGATGTGAGGAGATAGAGATGTAATTACGAAGGGAAAGGGAATAGTTCCAGAGGGCTTCCAAATCAGTGAAGGAGGTAAGCAATGAAAGAACCTCTTATACTACATACTTTAAAATTCTTATGTATCTAATCCTTTTTGTTACTTTCCTTCACTATGCCATGGGATGTCAACCACAGTCAGTGATGGGGATTGGGGCTAATGGACTGTGTTGAGAAATAGCAAATGCATTCTGCAACTGTGTCCTTCAATAATCAAAATTCATATTTTTTTGTAAGGGATGGAGACTACTGACAGGGGGATGAGAAGGTGGGATGTGGGGTGAATGCTTACCCATAATTGCAAATATGTTTACTCTAAAATACTTTGAAGACTATAGTGCATTTTCTTGGAATAAGTCTTTATCATATCCTAGGCTACAGTATACAATATCATTCATATAGATCAGAGGTGGCCAACAAGCCTGTTTTAAGTCGATCACACTACTGTAACTGTTAATAATTTGTCCTTCAGAAGTTGTTATGCAAATAGCTGCAATAGCATATCCAAGTACTCATGATACTTGGATGATTTTTTTTTTTTTTTCTGAGAATAAGTTATATTTATATTTATAATGATGGACATGTCTGAACAACATACAATTATACATCTATGGAAAATGTTTGAATCTTAGGCTGGTAGAGGGTGTTGATGGCCCAATATTCTTAAACAAAGCAAAAAAATTCACATAGATAAAGATAAATCTTTAAGTGGAAGCTTGACTAGGTCACATGGTGGGTTGCCCAGATCACCCAGGACCAATGTGTGAAACTGACATAATCAAAACACAGAATATTCTGATTTAAAGCAATGCTACCATCATACTCAAAAAGTTTAAGGTTAATCCCCCCCCCCCCTCAAAGAGCCTCAAGTTGAAAAGACTGAGGACATATTTCAACCCTTCGACAGCACACTATGGATTCAGTATCAATCTCCCAAAGTATCAATCATTCAATGGCAGTTACTTCCAACAGGGGTGCACAGATCCCTCACGGCCTCTGCACATCTCTAGCTCCTTAATCCAACCAAGCCAAGACATTCTAGTTCATCCTACAGATCTCTCTCGAGAGAGAAAGTCAAGGAAGGGAAGGGAAGGGAGGAGAGGGCAGGAGAGGAGAGGGGAGGAGAGGAGTAAGAGTAAGAGTAAGAGAAAGAGAGGGCGAGTAGAGGAGTATAGAAGAAGTTAGAGAGAAAAGAGAGAAGAGAGAAGTAGAGAGAGAGAAGGAGAGAAAGAGAGTTTAAAGAGAGAGAGAGAGAGAGAGTAGAGAAGAGAAGAGAGTAGAGAGGAAAGAGAGAGTAGAGAGAGAGAGAGAGAGAGGAGAGAGAGAGAGAGAGAGAGGGGAGAGAAGAGAGAGGAGAGAGAGATGAGAGAGAGAGGAGAGAGAGAGAGAGAGAGAGAGAGAGAGAGAGAGAGAGGAGAGAGAGAGAGAGAGAGAGAGAGAGAGAGAGACAGAGACAGAGAGAGAGAGAGAGAGAGAGAGAGAGAGAGAGAGAGAGAGAGAGAGAGAGAGAGAGAGAGAGAGAGAGAGAGAGAAGAGAGAGAAGAGAGAGAGAGAGAGAGAGAGAGAGAGAGAGAGAGAGGGAGGGAGGGAGGGAGAGGGAGGGAGAGGGAGGAGGGAGAGGACGAGAGAGAGAGAGAGAGAGAGAGAGAGAGAGAGAGAGAGAGAGAGAGAGAGAGAGAGAGAGAGAGAGAGAGAGAGAGAGAGAGAGAGAGAAGAGAGAGAGAGAAAGAGAGAGAGAGAGAGGAGAGAGAGAGAGAGAGAGAGAGGAGAGAGAGAGAGAGAGAGAGAGAGAGAGAGAGAAGAGAGAGAGAGTATAACCAAGTCATTCTATTGAATTACAAGCTAGACCTTCTTTCAATTATGTGACAAAGGGATTATATGATATGCTTGTTATTATGTCTGAAAAGAGACCACCAGAATCCTACTTCCGCTGTATGTATAAGGCACCCTAGGGCTAAAACTACCAACCAAGTCTGTTCACCATTGGATTCAATCCCTTTCCATAAACAGAATGCAATTTTTTCTCATCCAGTTAAATTCCTGTCTAAAAGTTCCTAAAAATGTGCGATTGATCACAAAAAAATAATTTTCAGTTAACTTATAACTTGTAAGAAAAATCAATTCTTAGGGTAGAAATTCTATTCTACAGTATAAAAGTACGGAGCAACTTTAACCTCTAGATATCCTCCACATAATATTATGGCAAAAATATCTTTAGTGTTGGCATGCCCCTCAAAAAAATAAAGACAGTGTTCCATCGGCAGTATCACAAGAAAGGAAAAAAAAATCAGGGTTCCTTACCTTGTTAAGAGACTAAAACTCTTCACACATCATTTGGTAATTTATTTTAAAAAGCTATTTCTAATTTCTCCTACCCTTAACCCTTTTATCTACAAATCTATATCTATATCACACACACACACACACATACACACACGCACGCACGCATGCACTCACAGATATACATATATATGTATATACATACATATATATATATATACAGATAGATAGATTTATAGATATATAGATAGATATATAAGTAGATAGATAGATAGACCATATAAATATCTTTAGAGGGCAGGGAGAGGGCAAACAGAGGAGTTCAATACAAAAGATACATTCCAAAGGAAAATCATTTGAAAACCTTACCTCTGCTTCGCTATCTACACTATCCTCATCCGAGCCATGTTCTGAAGGAGCTGGTGTTGTGGCTCGTGAAGAGGTGGGTGATGGAGGCTCGGACAGTGGTCGAGGATAGTTGAGTCGTCCTGCACCTGCTGCTTCTTCCTCCAGGGCCAGCTCTGGGTATGCTGTGCGTAGGGCATGTTGACGGGCTTGACGATAATACTGGAATATTTGAAAGAAAATTCTCGAATATTCTACTCCTTTTCCTTTTTTCTTTGATCTTTAATTCAACTTCATTTCTTTTTAAAACAGTGACAGGCAAGGCTTATCATATAAAATCAACCATGTCTATTTCATATTTTTGGTACCAATAATATAATAATAACAAAAATGAAAAATTATAATAATGATTATAATACTTCAAACGGATTTTAAAATTCCTTCTCTCTCTTAATGCAATGCAATAATTAATATGTTTAAAAGATCTTTTATACTTTCATACAATATACCTTCACAAATATCTAATACCTGTCTCCATAAAACTCTTCAGCAGCACCTTCTAAGATATATCAAATATACAAAAGACTTTACACATACAGAATACATTTAGCAACACCGAAACATGCCTCTCTAGTATAACAGGCAATGTTCCTGAGGCATCTTACCGTTCCCAAGATTTTCCAGTCAAGCAGTTCTGATAAGCGCTCTGTACGGTTTCTTTGAATGATACGTTGACGTCGATTCAGCTGAACAAATTCAAAAAGGTTTTGTGCTAGCTGCCTCACAGATTCCTCCAGGCTAATGTATCTGCGATCAATGATGTATATACCATAGCTCATTGGGTCAGCTATGTGCTCAGACATGAAGCAGCCAAAGCCTAAAAAATCAGACACGGGTTCATTAGACATCCCTTTCCCAGGAGTGTAAAAAGGCACGCAAATTTCAGTTAGTGCATCAATTTCAAAATACTAAATGATAACATTACAGAAATTCTTGATTCCATTAATTTACCTCAGAATGGATATACAAAATTACTGTTATAAAAGCATCAACACTCTTAGCAGTTTCAATATCCACACCAACATTCAAAATAAAATATCAAGTTAAAATATGAAAGTTCCTAAACTACAGTCTCAATGCACCTGAGAGGTTGGTGGTGACAGATGGAATGCCCATAACAGTGCATTCAGCAGGTGTGTAACCCCAAGGCTCATAGTATGAAGGGAATACACCTAAGTGGCATCCACGGACAAATTCCTCATAGTCCATGCCAAAGAGAGGATTGGTGACTGACAGGAATTCAGGATGGAAAATGACCTGAAAATGATTTTCAAGATAAGTAATGCAACATTCGTGTTCCTGGGACTATTGCGTGAATGCATAATTAAGCAAAACACACTATGTGAGGCACCTAAAGAAGGCCCAAAGAGCATTCTCTTACTACATATAATAAATATAAGTCTGGGGGTGTATGGAATTTTGAAAAAAATAGACTGTAAAAGGCTTTTTAGTTAACCAGAAGAAAGCTAAGGTAAGGCCTTTTATTGATGAGCCCTAAGATGAGTATGGATTCTTAGATTTAAAAAACTATATATAAATATATATATATATATATATATATATTATATATATATATATATATATATATATATATATATATATATATATATACATAGAAATACAACTAATGTTCATGATCATGATACTAATAATGATAATAACAATCATTTTCATAGTCACAGTCAAAGTCATAATCATCATCATTATCATAATCATTAGTATCAGCATCATTACTATTATTATCATCTTCTCTATCATAATCATTATGATAAGGATAATCATCATCACCATTATCATTATCATTATAATCACTATTACTATCCTTATGAATACTATTATTACCAATATCATTATCATCATCATCATC